AGCAGTAGTGGTGTACAGCTCACAGACAGTTGGTAGGAGGAATGCAAAGTCAGGTGACAGTGAAAGGAAAAAGCACATGGATGTCTGCAACACTCATTCTCTGTTCAGGAGGAATTGTGGACTCTGGTGTCAGAGGCTTATGAGAGATCCAGGTTAAGGTTTTTTTCTGTTCATTTTAGCTGCCTGTTAAACTCCCTCCAGAGAGTTAATACTTCCAGGTGAGAAAACATTGACTTTTCTCTCTCTCTCTCTTTTTGGTCTAATGTGAATGACCAGGGGTAGAATGCTCTTCGGTTCCCTCTCAAGAGAATCACAGCCCTGAATGCATCTTCATAACGCTGACGTCTGTGGCAGTCGGGGCACAGGTTGCCCCTTGGTCTGTCTAGAAGTGCATATTTCCTCCCCTCATATTTATCACTTTGTCATCCCTGACTCCGAGTCCCAGAGATCAAGTCTACCTGTGGTCCAGCAGAGGAGCAATAAATCATTGCTCCCACTTCTTTTCTCCAAGCTTCCTGCCCCTTAATTACAAGGTGTCCTTGCTGAGGCTGCATCTCTGTTCCGTGTGTGCTGGGGACAAAGAGCCGGCCTTGATCGGATGTGTGCAGAAGCACTTCTGTCTCTCTCGAGCTGTCACATGTTGCAGAAGGCCACTTGTGCTACCTGCCCTCTTCTTTTGTCTTTTGTGAGTTGGTAGAATTTGATCGTCAGGTAGTTTGCCATTCACAGGATTGTCTAAGTTTGTGATTAGGAGCTGGGTGGGCAGCCATTAAATAACTCAACAAGGTGATCTTCATTAAGGATGGAGGTTTGAGCTGAGGTTAGTCATATTTATGTGGATTTTAGCTAGTTCCCTTTGTTTATGTGGATTTTAGCTAGTCACCTTTGTTCCCTGAGCTGGCAGGAGCTACACAAGTTGTGTGATTTCAAAATGGCGTCTTTTTCTTTTTTCTTTTTTTTTTCTTTTCTCCAGTCCAACAACAATCAAAAGGGCTGGCTGGCTATCATTTACCCCTTCCATTTGGGGACCCCAGTGAATTGAAGTCAGTGCAGGGGTGACGCATCCATGCGAGGACATCTGCCTCCTTTATCCTTAGGAAGATTTTTTTGTTGTTGTTGCTATTTGAGGTGGGAGAGTCAGCCCTTAGAAACAGAATGTACTTGAAGGCCAGGCTCTGGTACTTTCCTTGCCTGCTGTTTCTTTCCTGTACCTGGGCTTTTCGATGATGGAGAGTGAAGAGTGGTGTGTGGTAGGCTGTAAGTGTCTGGAGAGTTTTCACTCCTACTCCTCATTCCCTGCTGTTCCAAATCAAAGCTCACAGCTAAATGCTGAAAGTAGTAATCTTCACACAAAAGTATCCGCAGCACTGGGAAGCTGGTTTTCCTATCTGCTGATAGGGAAGCAGATAGCATCTACAAAAGACAAAGTCAAGCCCTTTCTCAGGTCCATGAAAGGGGAGGATGAAAACAGAGAAGCCAGAAGAGCTACAGATGGCTTGCAGCTGCTGAACCTCTTCTGTATAGTTTACCATCAAGTCAGAGAGCTGGGTCGGGAACATTGTGCAAGATGAGCACAGATGCAGGGTTTACTTCGTGGACCAAGGCCTGGGTAAAAGAGAACAAGGCATCTGATCATTTCTTTTCGGCCTAAGATTTATTTGCAAAAATGTCTCTAAAGCTGTACTGTTAACCTAGAGACTTGGCAGTCAGTCTCTTGACTGGGGCTGCTTGGGCTTTAGCAATTTCTTCCCTCATTAAGAATTGTTAGGCAGAGAAGGGACCTTTTTGGTAAACGTTGTCACTGTTGAGAAAGGACAGAGCAAGCTGCACTTTGGTTTGAATAGCTGGAACAGTTAGAGGCTGCTTTTTTTTCTTTCTCCCTGTGAGCTGCCCTCCTACTCAGAGCTGAAGCCCCTTTGAAGGTTGCTCGGTATAGCCGACACATGTAGCCGATCAGTTGAATTGAAAGATGTTCCTCTTAGCAGTGATGTTTGAAACACGTACATGGCCAAAGCTTTGTGACATGAAATGCTAACAGCTTAGAGTAGGAGACCCTCATTCTGACATGTAAATTGAGCAAATGTGATGGGGAAATCACCGTGTGGGAGTAAATGTGGAACACTAAGCTGTCAGTTTTATAGTCACAGTTCTGAGCTTAACTGCTATTTAAGAAGTGGCAAAAAGAAGATTTTTAAAGAACCTTCTATGGGCAGATAAGCAGAGACTTGCTTAGGAACATCAGTGCTTTGTTCAAACATACATGCCTTACCAATGTTTTTTGTAATATATTGTGGTGGTGTTGAATGTACACCATCTTAGCCTTTTCTACACATACAATTCAATGGCATTGATTATACTCTTTGAGTTGAGCAGTCGTTCTCATTCTCACTCTCCTAGTTTGAGTTGTTGCTCCCTCATTAACATAAACACACTGGCCCCTAAGGTTCACATCAAAGCTTTCCAGTTGCCATTGTCACTTGGAGCCCATTATAGATAGACCTTAAAAGAGCATAATGCTCAAGGTAGGCATTTTTTATTGGTTTAGCTAAACTAATGTTCAGTTAAAAAAAATTTTTTTATTAAAAGATGATTTTAATGAGGGCTTGTATTGGGCAGGGTTCTCTAGAGAAACAAAACCAGGAAACTGATTTTTAACTATATATATATATTTAAGTTTATACAGTGAGGAGTGTAACAGCTAATTACTAGTCCACACAGCAGTACAGAGGGTTCAGTTCAACTCACTTCCATGGAACAGTTAATATACTGGAAGTCCTTCAACTCACATGGGCTGCGGGGTCCAAGGTCAAGGAAGCAGACAGCAGTCCTCCCTGGGGCAAGGCAAGCGAAGTCTGTCTACCCACAGGCAGCAGGCAGCAGAGTCTGTCACCAACTGTCAGTAGCTCAGGAGCTTAGCAAAGCAGACCTGGATGGGATATTAAATGCAAGCAATGCAAGGCGATGAAATCCACCAGCCTCAAGCTCAAGTGATGTATGCACCAGCAGCATGGTGAAGCAGGTCTTGAAGGAGCCTCAAGTTCTAGCCAAGATCCACCGATTGGCCTGGCCCACAGGTAGTGTAGCTCACAGATTGAGACAGAACTAGCTACTGCAGCAGCAGCATGCTCCAATCACTAGAGAGCACGTGAGGAAGGGGCAGGCTTTGCAGAGCCATTTATCTCTTTGCCCTCCAACCAAACTGTGGCCTGATTAACCCCACATGTTTCTATTGGCCAGGTTGGCACAATAAACCTACCTATCACAGGGCTCTTACAGCTCTTATAACAACCCATACGTCAGTTTTGGCAAGCATATTTGTACATGTTTCCATTATTATTTTCTAAATATTTACTTTCTATTAAGTCCTTGGTATCAGCTCCTCTTTTTTCCCTCCCCCGACCCCCGCCCTCGTGACCCCTTGATAAATTATAAATTATTATTCATATCTTACACTGACCACTGTCTCCCTTTCCCCAGTTTCTGTTGTTCATCCCCCTGGGGGGGGGGGTTGTTATGTGTCTACCATTGCTATCAGTTCCTCCTCCTACCCTCCTCCCCCTACCTTCCCCTATCCTCCTGGTATAGCTATATTCCCATTCCTATTCCTGAATTCCGTGTGTCCTGAGCTTTTATCTCTTATCTGTACCTGTGCACATGCTAGTCTAGCCCATAATGAAAGGCAGGACTAGGGCCATGATAGTGGGGGGTGAGGAAGCCTCAAGGAACCAGAGGACTATTGTGTGTTTCATTGTGTGCTATATTGTGCCCTGGTTGACTCATCCTTTCCTTGTGGCCCCTCTGTGAGGGGATGTTCAATTGTCTATAGATGGGTTTTGGGTTTCTGCTCCGACTCCCCTTGTTCTCAACAATAGGGTTTTTTAGTTTGCTTGTTTTAGGTCTTTTGATACTTGTTACCTGATCCCCTCGACACCACATGATCACACAAGCTGGTGTGCTTCTTCCATGTGGGCTTGTTGCTTCTCTGCTAGATGGCCGCTGTTTCACTTCAAACTTTGAAGACCCCAGACGCTATATCTTTTGATAACCAGACACCATCCACTTCCTGCACCGCATTTGCTTATGCACTCATTTTGTTTTCAGCGATTGTGCCAGGAGGATGAGCATCACAGAGTGCCAGGTTTTTAGAACAAACATTGCACTGAGGGAGGGCCTGAGCAGAGGCCCAAAGTCCGCCCCCTACCTCGGTGTAGTGTTCAGTTGTGAGAAGACTTTAGCATAGGTTCCCAGACTTCTTTGGTCTACCATACCCTTTTCAGAAACAAACGAACAATGCAGCATGCTCCTGGCAATTAAAAAGGTTTGTAATTCAGGGACTATAAGTATAGGTATCTGCTTTTGCAGCCCGCTGGATCATTCCAGTGCCCCCTTGCCAGGGAACAGTATCGCCCACTTTGGGAAGCATGGCTTTAAGGGGATATTTTTTTATTTAAAGTTTAAAGATTATCTATAGGTAATTGTTTCCAAGGCTTCATTCACTTCTGGAAGTTTGGAGTCCATGACAATGTGAAATTCTGTTCTGCATCTCCTTTCTTTTGACAGCTGGAACCATTTAGTTTTTCTGGTCTCATGACAAAGGAAGGCAGTTGCTCATAGAGGCAATTAGTTAGAGCCATATTCTCCTTTTCTTGATTCTTCTCTTTCATCTTTTGCTCCAGGTGGATAGAGAACAATTGTCATGGTTTGGATGACGAAATACAAGCTTTTAAGACCCCAGGCACACACATACTATTAACATTGAACAATAATATTATATAAAAAGATGAATAAAATTTCCTTTTTTCCCTCAGTTGCCTATCCCTTCTAAGAACCCAGGCAGTATGCAGTGAACTAGGACCTTACCTGCTTTTTAAAATACCTTAGCAGCTGATATTCACTCTATACCTATCTAGATGTCTATGGAACTAATCCGCTTTCATTTAACCTATTGATTGTGCTTAAATAGCTTGTTGATGTCTTTTTCTTTCTTTCTTTTTTTAAAGCTTTGATCAATTTACTGAAGTTCCTTATGTCAAACGAGACCGTACTTTTGGCCAAACACAACATTTTTACATTAGCCCTTATGGTGAGTAATGAAAATAAAGTTGTTGTTTTTTCCCCTCTTAAGCCCTACCCTAAGGCAAAGGGGAGATGGTGTTAAACAGGCACTGGCAATCTGGATCTAAGGCTCAAGAAGAACCAGGCCTATGTTTCCCTCTTGGATCAGAATTTCTCCATTGGTGCTCCCCGTTCTCACCTATGTCTTTAGCAAATGTGGAGCTCTTTCTCCATGAGAGTGTGTTGTCTGGCAGGGGAGGTTACAGATCAGATCTCTGTGTGAGTAGAGGCCCTGGATTCCAGTTAAGAGATTGTCCATTGCTACTATCCTCTCTATGCTTGTAAATGGCAAGACCTCAGAGAGAAAGCTCTGTCTGAGGAGTGATTGCGTCATGATCCTTCCTAGTGTCCAAGGACATTACAAATGCCTATTTATCTGGATAATTATATGGGCTAGAATAAAGCCATGCCTTTTAACTATTAACTCAAGATAATACCTAGTTACCTACTGATCTCTTGGTAGATGCTCAGGAGCTGACTCTTTGGAGGGTGCGAGGAGCCCCTGATTATTAGCATTTTCTACAAATTTCCAAAGCATAATATTCATGCCATAGAGATGAGAGATGTAACTTAATCTCAAGAGCACTGGTAATAATAGTAAAAGGTAGAGAAGAATTGGGAACTGATACATTTTTTGAGTATTTATTGCTTTTGTTATAGCATGTTTATTTAAATTTTATCTGTTGATTTAATTAATGGTTGTGTTTAACAACCCAGCTCCCCAAAATTCCTGAAAATTTAACTGTCAGCTCTTGCAAGTCAGTAAGAGCTACTGACTCTAGCATGCCCGGTGGTCTGCATAGCCTGATGCCTGTACATGGGACTTTTGCTTCTTTCCTAGATTGTGAACCTATTTAATATGTTTATCACCTACGGCGACACATTCTTACCTACCCCCAGCAGCTATGATGAACTCTACTATGAGATTATCCGAATGCACCAGAGCTTTGACAACCTTTACTCCATGGGTAAGCCACCTTTGCTTTTTACTCTCCTCTTCCACTGTCTGGTTTTTTATGTCTAATAGGAAAACTGAGGTGTTTTTTGTTTGTTTGTTTTCCTCTCCTCTGTTGCCAGGGCCTTAACTTCACATAGAAATATTAGTGTTGGCATAGAAGCAATAGTTTTCTCTTTTCAGGTGTATGTAGACCTCATTGCCTTCAGGAACTCAAGATTTTATCTTAGTGCAAAGCCTGTAGCCCTTTGGCGGTTTGTGAAAGAAAGCACAGCGAGGCCTGTGGATTTCTTATCAGTGAGATGGAGGTGAGATGGTGTTGGAAATTGACGGTGACATGTAGAGGAGGCTGGACCCCAAAGATACCAAATTGGGAAAAGAAAACATTATGTGATTTGAGAAGGTACAGGATTTGAAGTTTTAATGAACCTATGCATTTTTAAAATAACTTCCAGTAGGAAATGGGTATTAGATAAAAAGCTTTCTTGCAAGGCTTTTGGACATTGGCTTACTGAAAATTTAATATGGGGTCATGGTAATTATGGCTGACAGTATTTTTATGTAAATTGTTTGCACGTTATCTGTATTGTCATTGTTGTTGTTTAGGCAAACTGCAATCCCTTGCACATTAGTTTCCTGTGTGTTCTCTCTACGTTTTGTGCATATAATTCATTGGGGTGTGTTAGATGTGAAAAATACATATTTTTAAAGGAAGCCACATCTCCCCATATGTCTGTGTGAAGAACAAAGTCAATTCTATCCTTGACAGATAAGTAGAAACCCCTATATATTGAATAGAAACAGAAACCCATTCAGTAAAATGATTTTATTTTACAAAATAATTTTGCTTCCATAACAAAACTATCTTTACTGAGATATAGTAATATATAATACATGGCACCTGTTTCAAGTACACAATTTGAAAAGTTTTGAATCTATAGCAAGAAAGCATGTTCATGACCTCAGAAGTTTCCTTGTGTCCCTTCTGAATCTCTTTCCTCGGACCCCTTCCTTCTTATCATCCCTGGACAACCACTGATCTGCTTTCTGTCACTATCATTTTATTCTCTTTGATGAGACTACTGAAAAATCCACTTTTTGCCTGGAACTGTGTATCATCAGAAAAGTAGCGGGAATTAAGAATGAGTGCCATGAAAAAGAGGAGTGACAAACATTGGGGGAAAAGTATTATCTGGGAGGAAGAGAACCATAGATGGCATGACAGACTGATGTCTTAGACATTGGCCTAGGGGCTTGTGTTAGTAGAATGTTTTGAATTGCATCAGGAAACTGATGTAAATGATCTTAATAAGAAAATTACCTCACTGGGCAAGATATGACAAAATAACAATTTATGAACTATCGAGGGCTCATGAGGGAGGAGGGAGCGGGGAGGGAGGGGAAAAATGAGGACCTAATGCCGGGGGTTTAAGTGGAGAGAAAATGTTTTGAGAATGATGAGGGCAATGAATGTACAAATGTGCTTTACACAATTGATGTGTGTATGGATTGTGATAAGAGTTGTATGAGCCCCTAATAAAATGATTAAAAAAAACAAACAAGAATGCGAAAAGCATGAGAATTCAGGAATTGTGCCATCACTGCTCAACAATAATCTGCAAGGACCCAAATTCATTCTCTCTGTTTCTCCGCTCTCTCATACATATTATAGCATGTCTGGGCACAGACCATTAACTCTAAATTTGCCTCCAAATATGAAGGCAATGAGTACTGAAGAAAAAGGCTGGTAGCTCCAGGATGGTGAGATAGGGAGGGATTTGTGTATAGGTTTATTTACAAGGTGATAATACCCTGGGTGGCCTCACTGGAGACTGGAGTCCCTGCAGCCTCTCTGTGGGAAGCAGGGGCTGTTACTGATCTGGTGAATGAAGGTGCCTCGGGGCAAGAATCTTGACCTCTAGGACCACCCCAGCAATTGTGACATGAGAGTGATTTAGCAAGTGGAAGTGTGCAGGCAGCAAGCAAGACTAGAAACATGCTTGACCTTGCAAAAAGCCTCTTCCTCTACAGCTCTGCTCCCTCGGTGGGCTTTTATCATCTAGCATGGCCCCTCCTCTTCCACAAAGCCTTGAGCAATTCTGAAGGTAGAAACAGGCAATACTCTACCTGGATACCCAGGCCATAGCAGACATAGGTAAAAACAACAAAGCAGTCCTCTACCTAGAAAAAGGCCAACGGCCAGTAAGAACCCTCACTAGTTGGAGGGGAAGGAGGACAACCAGGTGACCATAGCAGACCAGTCATCGGTTGTGTCCAGGGCTCCATCTGCCTTTTCAGATTGCCTAGCAAATCAGTACTGTTCTGACGGTCATCTGTATATAGGTAATGCAAGGGTTTTTGGGGTGCGAAACGGAGTTAAAGATTCAATTGGTAAAGTTTTAGAAGCAGGCTTTATTGAGAAGCTTGCGGGCGGGTTCAGCAACTCAGGTATTGAGCTGGTGAAACCGCGAAAGGGGAATTCTGGCTGCGTTTTTATATCTCCTGGTGGCAGGCACAGCTGCACACAGGGGCTTCAAAGGGAAGCGCTCTTTAATCTTATCTATAGGTCCAGGGACGGGTGGAATAAACACATCTTCAAGGAAGTTAATCTTATCTATAGGTATGGGGCGGGTGGAGTAAACAAATCTTCAAAGAACATTCTTTCTCGGGGATGTCTGGTCCTCAGAACTGGTGATTTTCAGCGAGGGGAGTGGAGGCCGATGTGAGGGAGGCCCATGAGAGGTGAGTTCTGAGAACCTAGAAGGTACCGGATTCAAAATGGAGTCCCTTGTGCCAAGACCAGGCAGGTAAGGCATTTAGTCTTGACCGTAGCGAGTTAGCCAATTCTGTAGGACGACTGTCCTCAAAGGGGTGGTTTCGGCAGGTCCTGGCTGCAGGCTTCCCCTGCTGCCCTTTAGCTCCTGTGTAGTAAAATCTGTCAGAGCTTCAGTTTGCCCTGTGACCTCCACGGAGACAAGAGACAAAACAAGAACAGTTGAAAGAAGCATAACAGTAGAAAACACTGGGCTGGCCCCTAACTGTTAGCCAGGGGAATTCAGAGGGTTTTCTTAGCAGTCCCTTCAGTGTAGGGCATCCTTGAGGGGCAGTGCCCTCTGTAATCATGTGGTAACCAGGGTCACAAGTAATCACCACACATCTACTGGTACCGTTAGGAAAATACATTCCTGCTGTCATGTGGGATTTATGCCGCATCTAATCAGTGACATTTGACATTGTCACCCCCTGGCAGTGAGAGACAGGAGACCAGCCCACTATTTGGGGAAAGGGCTTGGAGAAGACAGGGAAACCCACAGTTATACTAGGCTCAAAACAGACAGAGGTGGGTTTCCCTAGCACACACTATTCGGGCACCAACCAACCGACACCTCCCAGCATTGGTAGATGGCATCCCATGGTTATAACGGAAGTCTTGTGGTTCTTTATCAGGTCAGGGCCCCAGAAAAGGTGAGTTCTGCCCCCACCTCCTGTTTCCATTATCCCCTACGTACCTCATAGAGGCTTGCCATGCCATAATGTCTCCCATAGCAGCCCAACTGTCACAGGTCAGAGGCTCCCATTCCAAGGCTCGCCTTCGGTGCTTGTGAGAAGAGGGACTGTCCATAGGCACAGCAGTGGCTTTTGTGGTGGACTGCAGCAAAAGCAGAGTGGGACCTACAGTTGGAAAGACAGGTATTTAGTACCCAAAGGGCTAACTGGTCTTTTATTAGAAAAACATTGTGTCTTGTCGGGGGGAAAGGCTAGCCCCCACAACTAATCGCGGGTTCGATAGGCGCAATTGTATGGTTAAAATATATCTACAGATTATAATACAGTCATAGAGAACGTGAAGGTAAAAGAGAGATTGAAATAATGGAGTCAGACACATTTGGTGGTAGCATGCTCATCTAAGCCTCACTTGGTGGTCCACATGGAGATGGGAGACCAGAGGGCATGGGAGGGGGAGGAGGACAAGGGGAAAGAACAGGGGAGCAAGGACAGGGAGAGGAAGGGGGAGCCAACGAGAACTCTTTTTTGCTAACCAAGGCTTATATATCTTCGGGGGGTGTGCAAGCCCACTAATTACAGGTAAAGACACGTGACAGGAAGGGGTTGCACTATAGGTTATACAGAAATGAGAGGAAGACAATCTAGGGATATACAGCTAATAGGAAGGGGAGGGGCTAGGGGCACACATGTGACAAGAAGGACAGATCCTAGATTCACAATGGCAGCCTAACTTTGGATGTCACTGAGCAGGTTTGACCTTTTCTCTGCCTCACTATAGAAACCATTATCAGTAGGGTGTAAACCCCATCCATAGGATCCAGACTGATGGCTGCAAGCCTTTAGGGAGTAGTCCATTGTCCTTAACAGCAGGGAGTGGGCCCTGCTTGTGATGGGACCAGACTAGTAGCCTGGCAAGTGACTGCCTTCAGGGAGGTAACTTGATAATCATTTACCATTAGCTGCAAGCAGTGTCCTAAGTCTAACTTATATTTGGGGGAGACAACTTGGGAGAAATCTTTCTGTTTCCCACAGTGTCTTCCTTCAGGTGGTGAGAACAGTGGCTGCCTTTGGCATTGAACTTGACTGAGTGCATCAACCGTACTGCCCCAGGGAGGTTACCAGAGGGGTTGTAAGTAAAGTCACCCACTTTGCTGGATGCCAGAAAAAAAGGAGGCCAACTTCTGTCCTTCATGGCATGACTGTTAGCCAGGCCAGGTGGGGCATGACTGTCGCCCTCCATGCAGCAGGATGGCAGGTTCCCACTCTAGGCTGCTGCTTTCCCTCCCAAAGGAACTAAGTCACCAATCTACCCTGGTGGAGTAACCCACAACAGATACTAATAATTGGTTCCACGTCCTGACACCAGGTCCTGACGTTTAGAGAACCACGCTTTTTGCTTTGGCAACAGCCTTGATAAATGTGCACCTGGAACCTGTGCTGTCTCTTGTATCATGGTTGGAAGATCACTGGGGTGCCCAGTCTGGCATATGGGACTTATGGTACACA